TGGTAGCAGCATGAGGAGTCCAAGGCGGAACTATTCGCTGGGCTCCAGAAGGGGGGGTGAGTCCCTGATCGTTGGTCTTCAAAAGGCGGAGGGACAGCGAAAGTGGCTTGCTACTGCTGTGGGAACTGGCTGAGGAGCTCACTAGTGAAGGTAGCGACTTGTTGTTGGAGGGATTGAGAGATCTTCTGAGCTGTTTCTTTAAGTTGAGCTTGAGTAACGTAGCTCTGGTGTGGTCCTTCAAGGTGAGACTAATCATCCATATACTCAGAACCAGACATACTTGCTCGAAAAAGAAAGAGGCCCCACGATGGGCGTCAAACTATTAATGTTAATAATCACACAGATAATATAATGAGGGTGGGGTTGATTAGGGGCCGCTAACTTATCTGAATATTTGGTTTTGAGTTGAGTAACTTCTGCCTACATAAATAGCAACTCGTAAGAGGACGAGGAGTAGTCCCCTATTGTTCATCCAATGATCAATTCAGTGATGGACTTGAGTGAGAAAGTGATGAACTATGTGAGTTTTAAAGTATTGTGGAGAAAAATTCTGAGAAATTTGCTTGCTTACCCTGTATTTAAAATAGTACGCCTATTTATAGTGATGGTAAAAGGGTAGAATGGTAATTTTGGATGAGTATGAGATGGCGGCTACGCCAGTGCCTGCTTTACAGATGTCGGTTGACGAGTAGAGTAGATGTCACCTCAGTATTTAATGCGAAGTGATTGGGGGCATGACGGTGCCGACGTGGTCGATGTATCATGAAGACTATCTGGGCTAGAGGAATGATGGCGCCTGCTAAGCATTTAATGTAACGCTGACATGCTGTCAGTGGGGAAGGCTCAAGATTGAAGTCGTCATTTGGCTTATAGCGAGGGTTGTTGAGAAGGAACGCCTTTCGAGTCGACCCTGTAAGGTGTCGAATAACTGGTCAAGTGGGCTTGTAGCGAGTTGTCTTTGATAAGAGGACCGGTAAGTACCATCATTCGAGTCGATCTAAGGAGATGTCGACTAGATGAGTCGGCTAAGTTGGGATTCTTGGTGGTCCTGACAGTCACTTCAATTTGAGTGGTGCATGTAGGGGGACACCTGTCCAAACCTGGCAAAGGGTCATACTTTGGCGACTAAAAACACCATAACATTATGAACTATTCTCTTTTTATCATATTTTACTTTAGATTTATTAATCATAGACTATCAACCCACTTAAATAAAGCATAACTGATTAAATTATCATCCAAGTAAAATTAACATTCATGAAAAGAACAACAATTAGATAGTAATTCTAGAATTCATAAGCATAAACTATCAAACTACTCAAGATAAGAATAGATTATCAAATTCTTCTTCTACCAATTAGTTTTCTAGTTGATTATCCTAAGCATGATCATTTTTAGGACAAGAGAATAGTTCGCAAATTATAAAAGAAATCAAACTAGTTTTATACAATTCTTGAATTCATATAAGAATTACTTCCATATCTTAGAAAATAAAAATAAAGAAATAAAATCTATACTAGAGAGAATAAAATGAAGAGAATAAAAATAAAAACTAATTCCCAAAAGGATTCTAACCTCTTGGAGAATTAAAGGAAAAAATTAAAAATAAAAACTAATTTCCAAGAGGGTTCTAACCTCTTGGAGAATGAGAGGAAAAGAAAAAAAACTAATTCCTAAGAAGGTTCTAGCCTCTTGGAGAATAACACATGAAAATAAAATCTAAACTATGCAAGAAAATAAATCTATATTATAAAATATAGGAAAATAAAGACATGAAAGTAAATATACTCTACAAAACATTAAAATAAATCTAAAATAATAGGGTTCTAGCCCCTTGAATATCTAAAACAATTACAAGAAAATAAAAGGTAAAAGAGAAAATTTACATTGCAAGAGGGTTCTAGGCTCTTGAAAGCAAATGTTCATCTTCATCATCAAACAAAGAGAAGAAAAGAAATATGAAGATGTGAAATTTTTTATTAATTACAACAAAGTTACAATTTTGGAAGGTCTCCTCAATTAAGAGTAACCTTCATCTCCAAATAGAGTTATTACAAATTTTTTCACATTCAAACCCCTCACCCTCTATCTTATTTATAGCATACAGCAAGAAACAAAAACCATTGGATTTTACTTGATCTCCAAGGATTAAATCTTAGCCATAAAACAAGTTTGTTACGAACCAATCAGTTGACCAATCGATTGGCCAATCGGTTGACCAATCAATTGACCAAACGATTAGAATTCTAAAATTCTGAAAATGTAGTTAGCTCCATCTCGTCGAGATAGGCGATTTTTATATATTATATGTTAAATTTTACCTTCCGGATTGAGAGATATTGTCGTTTCTTTGTGGCTAATCATCTTGAACATAATTTTAACTTGATTTCTTTTCATATTGGATCCTTGCTTCTTTGGCTTCTGTAAATTGCTTGGCTTGATCCCGAACTTCAATAAAATGTTAAAAAATCAAGAAATTTGAGTTCTTTTTGAACTTTTATTCATTAATTCTTTATTAACTTGCAAATTAAGGTAAAACATGTTTATTAATGATATTTTTATTTAAACAAAATAGATAATGATGATATAAAAATATAATAAAAATATGATTATTAAGAACTCCCTTCACTTCAGAATGCTTTACGAAATTTGTAAAAACCAATAAAAGGAGCTTTCACATTGAATAAAAGTTAAAACCCTAATCTTAATAACAAAAGATAGATAAGAAGACAAAGCGTCAAGAGGTTTGAGAGACATCATGTTTATTGTAGCCTCTTATTTATTTAATTTAATTTAATTTAATTAATTAATTAGTGTTAAGGGGTAATATTGTCACATGAAAAGATTTTTCCAAACTCCCACTTTTAAAGTGAGTATATATATATATATATATATATATATATATATATATTATATATAGTATATGGGAAGAGGTTCTAATAAAACTCCTTGCTCTAAAAATACCAGCCTCATTCATCATTGGATCTAGGATGAATGCCCATGGCTGAGAATTCAGTCAAACAATCAACAACACAACTGGCATTATTACCTGCATTAATTACGGCCTCAAACGTAGTGAATCCAGATTCACTACCTCAAGCGTATCTCGACATCTTGCAGTGAATGCGATTCAGCTAGTTGATGTAATTAATGCATGTGTTTTAATGAGGTAAGTTAAAGCATGTGTCTGTTGATCTGTTTGACTGAATCTAGCCATTGGATGAAGGAGGTTTTTAGTTTTTAGGCTAAGGAGTTTTTATTAGAACCTCTCCATATATATATATATATATATAATATATAATATAATATATATATATATATTATATATATATAATTATATATAATTATATATATTATATATATAATATATATATATATATGATTTAAATATTTTTAGCGACATAATTTCTTATTTAATTAATTATTTATATTAACTAAAATAGGGTAACAACGTAATGGGTTACATGATCAAGAGTATTTTTGTCCATGAATTTTTTTTCCCAAACTGACATTTTTATAAAGAAGTATGATATAATATGCTATGATTTAATACAATTTTGACTTTCCCGACTTCCCCTAAAAAAGTAGTGAAGTCACATGAAAGTGAAAAAAAATGGTAACCAAATTCAATTAAATAAATTTAACTATATTTGCTAGTTAATTCTATTTTGCCATATCATGTTTACATTATACTATCATTAATAATTTTATTTTTCAAACAAACATTGTATTTCACTTGCATATTGACATCAATGTGAAAATCATTTGAGAAAAAAGAAAAACTAAAAAGCACTCCAAACTCACTTTCAAACTATCAAACACCCACTAATAACGAAAAAGAATATAGCACCTTTTGCTTATATACCCCTCAAAGCTTTCATATTTACAATTCACCCATCAAATTTTAGTATTTACAATTTCTCTTAGATTTTTTTTCTACCCTTCTCACATAACAATTTTACTTTCTGATGGGAAAATGCTGCAACATATAGAAAACTAATGTAAAATTTGCATTGCTTTGTTAAAAACCGGCTTCGTTTGGATACCATAGCGTTTTCCTTGTTGTGTTTTTTAAAAAAGAACCATGGTGTTGTGTTTTTCCCTTATAGTATTTTTAAAATACCATGTTGAGTGTTTTTGTTCAACATTAGTTTGACTTATTACAACATTAGTATTAAACATATTATTAATAGAATATAATATTATTAAGAATGTTAATAGTATTTTATTACTACTACATTATTAATAAATTCACATATTACAAATATTTTAATATTATATAATATATTATAGTTTCTAATATGTTAGGGTTTATTAATAATACTTTAATAATTTATGATATAAATCAATTATTATATTATGAATATATTATTTTTACATTATTAGATTATTATATAAGATATTTTAATTATTATATATTTATATTATTTAATAAATTTTACTAATATGTTAGATTAATTATAATATAATATAGTATAATATAATAAGAATGTTGATAATAACTATATATTACTTATATTTAATATATTATGTTAGATATTATATTAACATCTTTTCAAATTCAAAACTAAAACATCAAACTTAAAACATCTAAAAGATGTTTTGAAATAAGTGTTGTATTTTTTGTTTGAGGATGATTTAACTCAAAAAACACAATGGTTTCCAAACGCATGGTGTTTTTTTTAGCAAAAACATCATAGAAGCAAGTGAAACACCATGGTATGCAAACGGAGCCCCATCATGGAAGCAAGTAAAACACCATAATATCCAAACGGAGCTAAAAAAACCATAGTTTCCAAACGCATGATGTTTTGTTTTTGGCAAAAACATCATGGAAGCAACTAAAACCACATTTTTAAGTTGGAGCGGTAGAGAGACTCAATATGTGAGTGTTGGGGGCTAACTTTATAAATACGAGGATATGAGGGATAAGTTCGCAAATATGGAAGATTTGATTGGTATTTATATGCGGTCATGCAAATCACCTCGCCTAGCGTCTCCTCGCTATGATAAGGGCGACCCTTCTTCGTACCAACGGTCTGAATTCAAATTTCCCGCGTTTTTCCTCTTATCTGAATCCAACCATTTCCCTTTCACCTCCAACCTCAAACTCTTTCACCATTTCCTCACATCTCCAAGACCCTCAATGGGCCTTCATCAATCTGCTCAAAAATTCCTCTAAACCCACTCCGATCCTTTTGGAGGTCGAGAGTCTCCATTGTAGAGCCATCAAATCTTGCCTCGCCGTAATTGGGCAGGTGGGCACTATCCTCCTTAGCCTCTATGCTAAGTGTGGTTATTTGGATCTTGCGCACAAGTTGTTTGATGAAATGACTGAGAGAGATGCTCGCTCATGGACGACTCTAATTTCGGGCTATTCTCGAATTGGTAGATACGAAATGGGTCTGAGCCTATTTGCTTCGATGATACATGAGGGAGATTTGCCCAATTGCTTCACTCTTTCTACTGTTCTCAAGTCTTGTATGAACATGGGTAATCTTAATATGGGTAAGGGAATTCATGGATGGATTTTGAGGAATGGCATTGAGATGGATGTTGTGTTGGAGAATACGATGGTTGATTTCTATGTGAAATGTGGGGACTTTCGATGCGCGGTGAAAGTATTTGAGATGATGACCGAGAGAGATGCTATCTCGTGGAATGTTCTGATTGGTGCTTACTTAGAGATTGGAGATGTGAATGGTGCAATGGAGTTATTTAGAGATTCACCCTTTCGGGATGTTTCGAGTTGGAACACAATTGTAAATGGGCAAATGAAAATGGGTTTTGATTTGGTGGCTTTAGAACTTCTTTATGAGATGGTTGGGATAGGCATTGGGTTCAATAAGTTTACTTTCTCCATGGCTTTGACTTTGGCTGGTAAATTAGTTCTTCTTGAACTAGGGAAACAAATTCACAGCCAAATTTTGAGAAATGGATGCGAATATGACGCATTTATTACGACCTCGTTGTTAGATATGTACTGCAAATGTGGTAAAATTGAGGCTTCCTTGGTTGTTTTTTATAATTCATCTCAGTCTACTGATGGGTTGATCGCAAAAACAATTCAATGGAGTTCCATGATTTCTGGATTTGTTCAAAATGGGAGAATTGAAGAGGCGCTCAAGCTCTTCTCTAAAATGTTACAAAAGGGGTTAAAGGTTGACAAATTTACTCTCACTAGTATCTCTTCTGCTTGCTCAGATGCTGGAATTCTTCAACAAGGGCGGCAAATTCACGCATGTATTGAGAAATTAGGATACGGATTTGATGTTTTCTCGGTGTCAGCAATCACAGATATGTATGCTAAATGTGGAAGCTTGGATGATGCTTGCAGGGCTTTTGATTCTATAGAGTCACGAAATGTTGTGATTTGGACTTCAATGATAAACTCCTATGCTTCACATGGACATGGGAGGAAAGCGATTCAACTCTTCGAAAAGATGTTAGGGGAGAAAATTATGCCCAATGAGATAACCTTCGTAGGTGTTTTATCTGCTTGTAGCCATTGTGGAGAAGTTAAAGAGGGATGTAAGTATTTTAGACTGATGCAAGAAGAATATGGAATTTTTCCCAGCATCGAGCATTTCACTTGTATGGTTGATCTTTTAGGAAGAGCAGGGAAACTCGAAGAAGCAAAAGACTTCATTTATCAAAACAATATCGAGCATCATGATGTAGTGTGGAAGGCATTATTGGCATCTAGTCGATTTGATAACAATATAGAAATGGCAAAATGGGCTTCTGAACAATTGGTTAGTCTCAAACCAAAAGATGTTGGATCCTATGTTCTCATTTCTAATATCTGTGCAACCAAGAGAATGTTTCTGGAGTCCAACAAATTAAGAAATTTGATGCGGGAGAGAGGAATGAGTAAAGAACCGGGTCAATCTTGGATTGAGTTGAAGAACAAGGTCCATGTGTTCACAGTAGACGATAAGTCACACCCAGAGTCAGAAGCGATATATTCTTACCTGGAACATTTAATGGAGAGATTGAAAGAATTGGGGCATAAAGAGAATCAATGCTAAATTTCCACAGCGAGAAGCTGAAATCAGTATGCTTGACAGACTTCAATGACAAATACTTACCAACAAAGGAGGTATGTACTTGTTTCATTATCTTTCATAATTACACTAATTAGTATAGAGCCTTATCCATTCAACTTTTAACTAAACTTTATAAGGAAAGCATTCATTTGGAATAATCAATGATAGGAGCAGTTTCAACTATCAGCTATAATTAGCTTCTATTTATAATACATCATATGTATTCGGTTATGTTCTTTTCCGCAAACTGATGATAATTATGGATCAATTTGTATTTTTATGACTTGAATAAGGACAGCATATACACATGATTTTGTCTCTTGACTATGCGAGTCAATAATAAAGGGTTAATGGCATATAAACCCCTTGCAGTATCGCTGTTTTGAACTTACTACCCTTGTAGCTTCATTTTATAGGTAGACCCCCTGGATTATGTTTTTTTTTACTCTTTTACTCTATAGGTCAAAATTTCACCAAGGGTAAAAGAGACAAAAAGATTTAACGGAAGGGCTCTATGTGCAACAATGAAACTGCAAGGTAATAAGTGCAAAACAAGGATACTGCAGGGGTTTTATGTGCAATTAACCCTTCAATAAATTGTTCTTTTAGTTTCTTTTTTCTTGTCTCTCAAGTACTCAACCACTTCATATAGTGGCAATCGTAATCCACACCTAAATCAATAGACCCAAGCTGAAGAAAAAGAGTGTTTCACAAACCTTACTCCAAGTACTTAAACCTTTCTGAACAAATTCACCCCCATCATAGATGAAGTGCTCTGTGACTTTAGTTGAGATATTGGATGAGGAGCACTTTAGTATGAGTCTATTAACATTAATACCATTTCATTTATGTATGTCCCTATCAGAGATCATTCCATGTATCTAAGTTTCCTTGGATGCAAAGATAACGCATGGTGCTTATTCTGAGTGTCACATTAAAGTTTTCCGTGCTTGACATAAAGCAAGTAGAAGAGATCCATCAGAACTTTTATTGTTTCTCTGGATGCATCAATCATCAGTAAGTCACACTTACCTTTCTCTCTCTTTTTCTGAGAGTGAACCCAACCACCATATATTCCATCAGGGTATGAAGTAATTCAGAACACTTTGCATGAAATAATTGCATCACTTGGAATTTTTTTTGAGTTTTGGTCTTGTTATTGCTCACTGAGTGGAGTATTTGAGTATTACATTTGTGTGGACCTTTTCGATTAAGGCCTACTAATGATGTTGTAATTCCTTGTGTTTTACTCTTGGGGTCAATTTCAAGATCCCAACCTGGGTGTAGTTGGAAAGCCATTAGAAGACACAAGGAAAAAAGGATGGGGGTTTAACATGATGTCTTAATGAACAAGGGAGATTATGAAATAGGGAAAACTATCCTAGGACCCTTGTGAAATAGATCCTGTCCACTGGATAATTGGTATACAAAGGGATGAGAACCTTTAAATCAGTGCACTAACCTTCTAATTCACTGATTCACGGGTAAATTGTCATTGGTGCATCAACAAGACAGTGACAATTGAACAGCTTCTCAGCGAAATAGAGGAGAGTACCCAGTGGACGGGATCCAGCGGAGATGTGGTGTTTCAAGGGTTGAGAGCCCATGAATCAGGCAAACAGAAGGAATTTGGCGGATAAATGCATTAATGCAAGAGTTGTCTTTTTTTTTTTGGCACACTGTGTCAATACATCTATTTGTCAAAAAACAATTCTCTTTCTATAAGGGTAAAGGAGCAAAAAAAAAAAAAACACTCAATGGGTCTATCTGCAACAATAAACTAGAAAGGGTCTATCCGCAATTAACCCTTTTAGATATTGAGAGCTAGGTCCACTGCTCACAAGATGAAGAGGCTAAGGTCACAAGAGAGAAGGTTCCCAGAATACTACAAAAAAAGCACTTGGTGGGGGCTAAGATTGGCCTACAAATTGGACTTGCAATCAGCTAAAAGGTGGGTACCAACCAACCAATTCAACCCACCTCCATAATTCTATCCTCTTAACCCCCCCTCTCTCCTCTAATCCTCACACACGCACACACTCTCTCACCAAACTTTGGGAGTAAACCCTCCTATACGTGGAAAATCATTCATACTTGCTAACAAAGCCATCACCACCCAATATAACAAATCCACTCACCCTCAATCCCTTTTCCCTTGCTCATAACCACACCTAGGGCCATTTTTTCATGAAGCAATGAAGGATAGAATGGAAAAGTTTGCTTCCTTCCCCTTCTCCGTTGGCTGCGTTTCTCATTCAAGCGTTGATGTCGTCGAGAACCATCCGAAGAAATCGCAGAGCGAATCGAGTCCTACACCAACAAGTAAGCCAATTTTCTCATCTCTTCATTGTTCTAGCCTTATAGGACTGTGTTAATGATATTTGTTGTAGGACACAATTACACAGTTTTCCAACGCAAACAAATTTCTGTAGTTTTGCTAATATACTAACAACTCTAATACTCTATGAAGGCGAAGTCCAAGCAAATGGGAGGATGAGGAGTTCATTCCTCCCTCTTCCAAAGCCAAACATCTCTGCAGGGCTTCAGAAAGTGATCAAGGGCTTCAAGAACTTATCCTCTCTCTTCCAATTCTACAAGGAGGATGACGACGACGACGACGAAGAGATCGAGATGGAGATTGGATTCCCTACCGATGTTCAGCACGTGGCTCATATCGGCTGGGATGGCCTGAACAACGTGAACACCAACATGAAGAGCTGGAATAACTTCAATAAAGGCCCAGAGTTATTGTCTCTGCCAACAATATCCCTAAAGCAGTTTGAGCTTGCAATGGCTTCACAAGCTAACAATAGTCCCCATTGAGCTGAGCTCTGAATGAAGAAGATTTGGTATCATTATTTTTCTGTCAGTTTTCTGTAGCCTTTTGTTCTTCCTTGTGTCTTTTTCGGGTGAAGAGTGCATGTGAACTTGTATAGCCTTTCTCTGATATGGGAATCTTCCAACAATTTTTTTTTTACCTACAGACTGCTTTTGTAAACACATGATATTTAGCTTGGTGTGTTTGACTGTGAGTGGAAGTAAAAGTGTAGGGATTTGTTAGATATTAGTGCCTCAAATCTTCAATAATTCCATATTAGTTCCTCAAATCTTTAAAATTGTTCATATATCCCTCAAATTCTAACGGGTCTTGAGGATTGGTCCCTCAATTACTGAAATACCCCTGATCATCTTATGTTTTCCTCACAAAACCCCAAAATTCATGTGTTCACAAAAACATGAAGGGTATTTGGTAAGCTAGGGGCCAAATTGCAAGACCCCTAGGGATATGAGGGATGTATGAACAATTTGAAGATTTGAGGGACTAGTATCTAAAAATCCCATGAAAGTATGGGGCTCACATGAAATTGATAGGATGCCTCACCCTAAATTTTTCACCCTTATTTTATTTTATAGAGTGTGAACTGAATTGTTGCCTGTGATATGTACAACTCATACTTTGTCCATGTCCTAAGAGAACAAATTGACATTTTTAGATTCTTTTTTCCTTCTTACTTTTATGTTTATAACTTTGTCATTATGCTTGGTTGCTTGTTTGATGCATGATTTAGTTTAATATTTGTTATTTTGACCACCGTCACATCATTCTCCCGTGAACAATTAGGGATGCAGATCTTGGGTAAACATGTAAATTAATCAAATGTTGTTCAAATTAGGTAGCAATGCCAAGGACGTTGTCTAGCTTGGATTTGTTTTAGGATAAAATTCTCGAAACCCCACATGCTGGGTTTGCATCGAACTAATGTAATCTTTTTATTAGAGAAAATCATCATTAACTTTTTGTCACTATACTAGTATGTCTGATGACAATCAGAGTAAGTTGTCGCCGGTTGCAAGTGACGTATTTTGAATAATTTTAGTCTTATATACTTTATATATCATCTACATTACCCTTACCCCTCTTCTATTTTTAATGTTAGTTTATACCTTTTTGCTGCAATTGATGCTATTTGTAACAAATTTCTTTTTTTAACTCTTTTTTTTTTTCTAAAGATTTTATAGTAGTTTTCTCTATGCAAGAGGGTCTCACCGAGTTGATAAGCTGCTTATGAGCAGTATTCTAAGGTCTCGGGTTCGACTCTCCTTAAAAGCATCCACGAGAATTTAATTTCCTGAAATAGCAGAGGCCTCGCGTTGGGGTGCCCTTTAGCCACGCCCCAAGGTTAGATACTGGTCCAGACGATCGTGGGGGAAGTTCCTTCATCGATCAGACCGAAAAAACAGTAGTTTTCTCTAATTAAAAAGGTTTATGATAGTTATATAAAAAAATCCAAAATTCTCTTACCCTTTGTTTTAAGTAGGGTTTTTTGGCTTCTTTTGTAACTTTGGCTTTTATAGATTGTCTTGAATCCTACTATTAATTGAATATATAAAGTCTCAACTACTGTTTAGATGACCAGAAAAGCATATGCCCATCTCATAACTACATGACAAGTTCAGTAGACCTAACAGGGTTAAGCTAAATAAAGCATTAATTTGAAGTTGTTTACAGGCTTTTTTCATAGTACAATGGTTGTTAGTTATGTGGAGATACATTTTCTTTACTTTGTCTTCCACTAGACCTACTCTTGTAATTTTGTGCTCTTATATTCTTCTGTCTGTCTTAAAGTTCAAAATTTTCAATGTTGGAAACCTACCGCTTAGATTGCTGTAAAGAATGGCATGACAGTGAAATGGAGGTGGCATCACAGAAAAGATCAGGTCACATCTTCTTGAGTTGGTAATAGTGTTGAATATCTCTCGGCCATATATAGTTTCATTTCAAAATTAATTATGAATATTTTTGAGTTAAGTACTGTGCACGTTGCTTTCTTAGCCATTAAAAAGGCTAATGAAAAGCTGTTACATGCTTCTAATGCGCTTATCTATTATAGAATTGAGATGTTAGAAGGAAATTGATTTCAAAAGTCAAGTTTAACATAACAGGAATATGTGAGAATAAAAACTACACCTAGTTGAATTTCAAAACTAAACAGGAAAGCAGAAGAAACAGTAATAAACATTAAAGGAAAATTAAAAGAAAAAAATTATGAGTACGTGTTGCAAGAAATTCTCCAACATGAAGTCAAATCCAGTTGATGGACGAGTACCCATGTGTTAATTTTATTGATAGATTATTTGCTTGATTTTATGTGCATCGTGAAACTTGAAAGTGCTTAGGTGCTTTAGAATTCATGTTTTACTTTCGTTCACCACATATGGTCTGAGATTTCAAAAAAATAAAAATAAAAAAAAATTCCAATATCTATCAGATTAATAATATAATTGTATCTATAAATTGTGTTTTTTTTTTCATATGTGATCCTAAAGTCATATACTAATCTTTACCAGACAACTGGGCAAAATAATGGCAACTAATGAATTATAGTAAGTCTGTTGCGCGCCGTGCGGAAGCGTGCTCGACAACCAAACGAGTCGGTGAGCGATGAGAAAAGAAAATCAAAACCAAACACGAATGCAATTCACAAAATAACGACCAAAATCACACACAAACACAAGAATTTACGTGGTTCGGCAATTGCCTACGTCTACGGGGAGAGGATAGGGAGATTTCACTATATGGAGGAGAAATACAATGGGTTACAACTCACAAAATCACTCAAATATAACCCTAACCAAAGCTCTCAACTCCCTCACAATATCTCCCTCTCAAAGTACTCAAAACAATGCTAATTCTTTCCTTTTCTCTCCTTAAGAAACCCTAAAAACGTGGTTCTATTTATAACAAAACACAATCCCAAATATATTAGGATTCTAAAAACGAGTCTGTCACACCCTGGTGTAGCACACACCACATCCATGACAAACATGACAGATTCTGCCACACCAGGGTGTGACAGACACCACACCCATGGTAGATTCTACCACACCCATGGCAGACACCACACCAGGGTGTGGTGGAGTCTGTTTTGCTTATTCTTCACGTTTTTCTCAATTCCTTCGCCGTTTTCACAATTCTCCACCTCGGCGAAGTGTTCTCAACACTCGTTTTTCTCAATTCCTTCGCCGTTTTCACAATTCTCCACCTCGGCGAAGTGTTCTCAACACTGAGCCGATACCAACATGAGCATCAATGCGTCGTCTCTCCAAACTCGGCTGCACCAATGTGGTTGACTACGTACCCCCTCTCCCAAGGGATCAAGCCGCCCGTAGTTCATCCAAATAGCCGTTAATGGCCTCAACAATCACGAATATGCAACAAGTTTCGACAATGATTAAACTTGTTACTCGGAACCACTTTAGTGAGCATATCCGTCGGATTATCCTTCGTGTAACTTTCACAATCTCCACATCGCCATCTTCAAGAACATCCCGAACGAAATGATAACGAACGTCAATATGCTTCGTCCTCGCATGAAAAACCTGATTCTTTGCCAAATAGATAGCACTCATGCTATCACAATGAATAGTGACGGACCGCTGCGATATACCAAGTTCCTTCAAAAGTCATCGAAGCCAAATAGCCTCCTTCGCAGCCTCCGTAGCCGCTATATACTCTGCCTCTCTCGTAGACAAAGCTACCGTAGACTGTAAGGTGCATCTCCAACACACCGGCACACGGGTCAAAGTAAACACATACCCCATAGTAGACCGACGCTTATCTAAATCCCCGACATAATCTGAATCAATATAACCAATGCATAACTGCCAACCTGTAGTGTCCCGCTCATAAACTAAACCAATATTGAGTGTACCTCGAATGTACCTCAAAATCCATTTCACGGCGTCCCAATGACCCACTCCTGGATCGTGCATGTATCTCGAAACCATGCTCACCGCCTGTGACAAATCCGACCTTGTACATATCATCGCATACATCAAGCTCCCAATTGCACTCGCATATGGAGTCTTTGATATCAACTCTCGATCTTCAACTGACTTCGGTGAAAGACCAGCTGAAAGCTTCAAATGGGCTCCCAATGGTACACTAACTGGTTTCGTATCCATGCTAACATGAAATCGTTGTACTACCTTCTTCAAATAAGCCACCTGTGTCAAATAAATTCTGTCATTCTTCTTGTCTCTACTGATCTCCATTCCCAAAATGCGTTTGGCCCCACCCAAATCCTTCATTTCAAACTCATTTGAAAGCCGAACTTTCAACTCATCTATAGCCGACCTGGAAGTTGAGGCAACCAACATGTCATCGACATAAAGTAACAAATAAATATACGCACCTCCTCTCAACTTGCGAAAATATACGTAAGGATCAAACTGGCTCCGAGTGTACGAATGACCAAGCATAAAACCATCAAATCGCTTATACCACTGTCGAGGAGACTGCTTCAAACCGTATAACGATTTCTTTAACCTGCAAACCAACTTATCTTTCCCTGCAGCTCGGAATCCCAATGGCTGAGTCATATATATTTCTTCATCAAGATCACCATGAAGAAATGTCGTCTTCATATCCAACTGATCTAACTGTAATCCATACTGTGCCACCAAAGCTAGCAGAATCCGAATCGAAGAATGCTTCACTACCGGAGAGAAAACCTCATTATAGTCAATACCTTCCTCCTGTGCATAGCCCTTCGCAACCAACCTAGCTTTGAACCTCAATGGAGTGCCCTCAATGCCCTCCTTCTTCGTGTACACCCACTTGCACCTAATCGCCTTCTACCCCTTTGGAAGCTCAACAAGCTCCCATGTATCGTTCTTATGAAGAGACTCCATCACCTCCTGCATAGCTACATGTCACGAATCAGCCTCCGAACTCTGCTCGGCCTTTCTGAAAGTAGTAGGTATCATCTCATCGATACTCTCCACCGGAAATGCATATGCAACTGTGTCGGCATACCGTGCTGGCACCCGTATGTCTCTTCTCTGTTTTCGAACCGTAATAGAATCCTGAACCTGAGCCATGGGTCCTAGATTCTGCACATGAGTACTCATATCCTCCGCATCATCGTCGTGCTCTCCTGGCGTCACCTCAGTCGGCACTCTAATGGATATTGCACCATCTGGACACTGTGGAGCTGTATCAATCTCCACCACCTGTGATATCTCCTTTGTCGGGTCGCTCTCCACCTGATGAGAGCTG